CCTTTATTAATTTTTTACTTTATGCGAAAATGTAATGTAATATAAATTATATTAATTTCAATCAATAATTTCCCTCCTCTAGTAGTTTCATCTCTTTTTATTTTCTATTTGACAACGTATTATGTTTTCTATCTCTTACGCTATTTTGCCGGTTCTTAAGGCACTCATTACTACATATTATGTTCTATGTAAGTAAATATAGGGCGTATTGAAATTAATCTTGGTACCTATATTTTTTTGTTTGTTCACATACCGTGTGACATTTCTCGCTTAGCAGTATCTCAATATATTAATTTAGAACCCGGCTTAATTGACTTACGGCAATCATAGACATACTATACAATTATATTAACATTGTTAAATATAATAACATAAATAATAATATAATTAAACATAAATATAAACAATTACATAACCTCACAAATCATATGTCTGTGTTATGTGCATCGAGCAAAAAGACAAAAGAGGGAATGTAAAGGTAGTGGGGTGCAAAACTATTGTTAGAAGGAAGTTGCGATCTTTAGAGGCCACAGTAAACATGGAAAGAGAGTCTCTCTCCTTGTCTGACATCAAATTTAGTTGGGTTATGTTATTGTTTGTCCCAAATAACACATGAAATCTTATTTATATTGAAGTTTTTTTAACAATTGTGTCGCATTTTAGACTATTATCGATAATATTTAAATAAAACTTTCTCGTTTAAGACATATTCTGAAAAATATTATATAGCTACTGTTAATAAGTGTCGGAAAATTTAAATTTGGCGCATTCGCATTTCCGGATATGTCCGCCATCAGAGGCCACTTTTTTGGTCTCCTTTTCATAAGGATTGGATTCCCTCTTTTGTTTTTTTGGTCAAAGGTTATTGTGTTTCCTTCTGGCGCGCCTGCTGAAAAACTTCAAAGGCGGCATCTGAGAGTGGGAATTCTGATTGTTTATTATTCTGTGGTTAGACAATAATACAGGAACGCAATTATATCCGCAAAAACCTATTTAAGTGCCGACGTAGGATCAGATCACATCCCAGTAATGACCAAAATTAGGCTCAAAATGAAAATAATAAAGCGAAGAACAACAAACGCAAAAATCGATACAAGTAAATTAAGGAACCCACTCATAAGGCAACGCCTGGCAGATGAATCAACAACGGGATTAATGAATGTTAAAGAACAAATTCTGCAAAATACTGAAACGCATAAAAAATAGTTATTAATAAAGACAGAAATAGATAAAAGTCAAAAAGAAATTCTAATACCAACCAGATATAAAAAGAAGCAATGGATGACGAAAAAAATTTTAGATTTAATTAAAGAAAAACGTCAGTATAAAAACAAAGATAATCAGATGTACAAAACAGTTGATAAACAAATAAAATACAGAATTTACAAAGTAAAAGAACAATGTGCAGAAATAGAACAATACCATAAAAAACATGATGGTTTTAACACACATAAAAAATTTAATAATTAACTCACAACAATGCAACAAGAAAACCGGGAATACTAAAAGATGCAAATGGGAAACTTGTTTTGAATACTAACGACAAAGTTAAGATATGGACAGAATACATTAATGAAACTATTCAAAGACAATAGAAACAGAGCAGATAAAAATAGAAGTAGTAATGGATATGGTTTTAAAGATATTAAAAAGAGGAAATCAAAAATGGTATTAAAAAAACAGTATAAAAATGGTTTAAAGCAGTAGGTCCAGACAAATCCCTATAGGAATCATAAAATTAATAAATGATGAATCCTTAGACATTATTAGTAGACTTAGTTAACTCAGTATACAAAACTGGGGCACATTCCGAACTAAAAATACTAACGCTAAATATTGCAGTGAATACAGAACAATATCACTAATTTAATTGAATTTTGACAATGTGCCAGTTTCTTATAGAGAATTTCCAATCTCCGAAAATTTTGGAATAACGCTGAGCCCATAAACGGCTTCTTAGTATTTATTATGAAGCTATTTTCTTGTCGCATTTTAAGGTAGTTTACTACTTAAATAAAAATAATCCGGCAATTTAAAGCTTTTAAAATACGTTTATTAACGTTTGAATTTCCACTTCGCAAATCTTTCGAAAAAAAATTTCGGAAGTGTTTCCGACCATGTTTTGATAATGCTATCAATAATATTTTCAATGAAATATTCTTTTATTATTTTTGTACCCTAACTGATGGGCTATTTGATCGACACCTATAAGAAAAGAATACAAATCATCTTGAAGTCAATGACAGCTTCTCTCTTTATCCCACACTGACTGTTAATTTTGGGTTCCACACACTAGCCTGCATTGATTGTATTTGGATATCGTGTTGGAGTTCTCGTACCTAGGAACTTTACACACGAAAAGCATTTGGCCGATAGTTGTGCCTCTATCGCGATCTGGGTGCTATACCGGAAAAAGAGATGGGTTCTGGGAGCAATGGAGCGCGGTGAAATGGTTCTTGATAAACACGAATTCACATTGCTTGCTTACGCCTAGTCAAAACCTCTTACCATTCTTTATACTGTATGTAGGTATACAGAATGTTACAGGGTTTAAATTACAATACTATATATCGTGAAAACTACCAATAATACCCTTTTATTATAAATTTAGTATTTCTTATTTACAAATAAGCATTCGACAAAATAAACCCGGAAAACTTTTTATAATAATTTTTTTTTAATGCAATGAAATCAAATTCTGTAGTCAATTTCTTTTAATATTCCCTAAATTTAATCCAAACTACCTCCTTACGTATATTTCTCAGTGCATTTCGATCTAGCCCTGCCGAAAGCATGTGCAATAAAGCTTTGGAACCTCCTCTTTTCATACGACGTCAACTTTTACTCTCTTTCTATTTCACTAAAGTTTCCGACAACCCAAAAATTCCAGTAATTAAGCTTATAAACATCTACTAAGCTCCTGAAAATGAGGACAGATCTGTTTATAGCCTTCCACAGTTAGTAAATTCTTTCATAGCAGCTATAGACCTGAATATAACTACCCCCATCTGTAATTCCAATATTCCTTAATGAACCAATAGGCTACCTGCTTTCAGTACTAGTCTAACTCGACATAAAAAAAGAGGACACTCCTAACCACCTCCCAAGATAATTATTTCAAAAAGCATTAAATGCAAAACAGTACAATCAAGTTCTTTACGCCAACGAATCTAAAGATGAAAAGAATGTTGTGCTGTGCTGTCTGTACCGAAAATATAGCCTATAGCTGCATTATCACATCAAGAAAAGCAAGTTGTTCTGACCTATGCCTAAAAAAAATTAAACTTGATTAAGATCTAGCAGCAACCTTATTGGCGACGTGCAAGTACTTGGAGGGGATACGAGAAACGATCGTGCGCGAGTAGTAGAGAAATCTTGCATTTTTACTGCACATTTCATAGATCTCATAAATTCATACTGTCAGTTGTCATATTTCATATTCGTTAGTTTTATTTTACACCTTCTGTCACTAAAGAAAAGGAATTTAGGAAATGCTTGTGTTATACAATATGTAAAAATACAACAAAAATTGTCAATTTAAGTTTTATTCGTTTCCAACTTCAAGCACAAAGCTACTACCAAGAGAAAGAAAAGTGGATTTATATCATAAAAAAATAAGCAAATAACCTAAAATATGCATTATTCTTGCGCCCGATTTTAAAGTCAGTTTGAAATTAATAATAAATATAAAGTTTCACTTTTAACTGTAAATTTTTAGTTTAATAACACTTACTTAGAGTTCATTTTAACCCAAACATCAAGTTTAATGTTTAAATTTTATTTTTTTTGAAGTTTATAAAATGCATCATAGTTTAAGTTTTTCTGAAGATATTCATTCGCTGTGCCAAAGTTTACAGGGAAACTATCATTTATTGGTTTAAACCAATATAATGATATCATGGGCTTTACTGCTAATTGATGCATTTTTCTGCGCTTTAGCAGTATTCAATTGGTATATTTATGCTTTCTTTATTCTTTCTCATTCTTTCTTTGGACATTTGCCATCTACTAAAGCTTTATCCCTTGCTGTACTCAGTAGCTTGGTTTAGAAGTTATTTTGGTTGACAATTTACTTTCTCAACTTCAGTTTTTTATTATTGACATGTCGCGCTAGTATTAACGCCGTATTGCTGTTAATTTCATTAAAATATTTTCTTTGTATTTAGGGCTACTTTCAACGTTTTCACTTTTAATATACATTACCGACAGACCACCTCATTCTTACTCTGTTTTCTTTTCTTCTTATTTATATGGGAGGCCCCGTCCTTTTCAGTGATCCAGTATACCTCTATCATAAAAGCGCAGTTACATTTTGCTGATGTAGACGACCAGGTGTAGCTTGTTCCGAACTTGCACCACGTGTCCCCAATAACAAAACACTTGTAAAAATCGTTATGACAAAATCATTGTACATGGACCAAAATACAAAACTACACATAATCAATATCCCACTTGTTTACTCTTTTTAAGATACTTTCTCATGACTAAAAGGAATCACAATCTTCATTCGCAGACTCAGCATATATGGAGGACACTACTGCTTCACTCACGGATTCCTGATGATTTCCGGAAATCTACCTACCTTCGTGAACATTTGTAATTTCTCCAACCCGAACAGTCGAAGGCTAACTCTGTTGGAGTGCAATTCTTATAGAGAAACAGATTTCTTAAATTCGCCATATGTGTGTGCAGTAGTCCCTAATTGTCTTCATATATGATTTGCAGATTTATTTTTTTCGTTCCATTAGAAATATCGTATCATTGTTCGTTCTTATAAAAACAAAGTTTGTGAACACTTTTATTTTTCCAAATTTATTTGTACTATACTGTAATTATTCTTATTATGTCTATTGTAATACTTGCACCAGATCTTTTTGTTCCCGTGTTATTTGCCACTAGATGTCAAGGGACACGCTTAATTTCATTAAAAAAATTCTTTTATTTTTACTATCTATTCAAATTCCTTTATATCTAATAAATTTTTAATTTGCTTTACCTACTTATCCTTGAACGTATCTTTTTGCTCCTGACCATCTGTTGCGTTTTCCGCGTTATCGCTTGTGGAAATATCAGACGCTAAATCACAAGTCACTGTTGGTATGGTCATAGGTCTAGGATGGGCTTCGATGGTAGCGATTTGACTTTCGGCATCGCGTGGAGAGTTATTGCTATTTCTATCAACTATGGATCCACCGGCGGAACCTTCGCTTCTCTCAGTTGTGCCATTTTTTAGGAAACTCAGTGTATAACATTAAAAGATAATGATTGATTATAAATATACAGCATAGTTTCTTAACGTAAAAATTAAAACTCGTTTAATAATATGTAATTGATCGTCATTGCGCCGAGTTTTTGACATCCTCTCTTAATGTCCTCTGAGACCCCAGACACTACTACAGCGATCCAATAACACAGGATTTACTGAGACTTCGACACAAGAGGACGGTTCATTTATACCATCGTTGGTTGACGTGGTTTTGGTAGTGGAGATGGGTAGGGGGTTAGCGTGAGAATTGGCCCGTGGGTCGGCGCGAACATTTCTGGCAGTAGCCTTTTTGAATTTTTGTGGCTACTCGGATACGTAATGGATTATAGAAGCGGGTATGGGGCTATGGTATCTCGGAGCTTTTCAAAAATCAATTGTTATGACATTGTAAGCTATATTGCTTACCAAAGGGTAGGATATGGGGGGACTAAGAATTGGGCAAACAAAAATAATCGAAACAAGTGCATACCGGCACTCAGGTGGTTAGATGGAGAGCTGGGTCGTGGATAAGTTGAAGATATTGGTGGTTTGGATTGGGCACTACAAAAAAAGAAATAAAGGCGGTCCCTATACAAACCTCTTGGACAAACTGAAAGAAATAAACGGAAAACCTCAGAAATTTTTATTGTAGGGCGCACTTCGAGTGGCCTAATTATATCCTTATTACAACCACTTGTTGTAACTAGGGAAATAATATATGAACATCAAAAATATTAGAAAATAATTATTCTTTTTTAAATAAAACTCAAAATAAATCAGGAAACAAATTAAACATTTATTTTGGTCTCTAACATAACAAGTTATAAAAATTATGGGTTACCAAAACAAACATACTATATCATAAATACAAAATAAATAAAATCTTACATCTCTTAGTTTACCATAAAGCATTGTTACAAAAATTCAAATTGGTTTCTATATTTATGGCCAATTAGTATTTCAAAAATTAAGGATTCCTTGTTAATGAAAACATAATAAAATTTACCTTATATATAAAATATCGTTTTACATAATAAACAAATTAAAATGGTCATACAACAAAAAAAAAAACAAATTAACTGCCACTGTGTCCGGTATCACATTTAATTATGATGACCAAGACCCAAAAGTAATTATTTAGCATAACCATTCATATTACAATTTTTTAATTTTTTATGAAAAGCAATTATTACTTTAGCCAAAAATATCTGTCTTTTACTTTGAAAAAATATATATTGAATTGTTACCTTAATGTTTTTTTTATACATCACTTTGAAACTTTACATACTCTGGGGAAGCTACTCGGAAACCAAATTTTCAAAACTGAAGGCACAACCAACAGGAACATAGTTCGACACTCCATGGGCAAAACGATTGGAACAGGGACCTTGGTGCAAGAATCAAGCGACTCCAGGGGACATCCTATTTATCACATAATTTCCTAGAAGCTTTGGTATTTCATTCAATTTCTGTGGTATTATCATTGACCGGTCTAAGACATTTTAAAAGACATTGAATCCTCTTAATTCAAAAATGGCCCAAATTTTACATCAGCAAAAAGCGTCTACCACCGTTTCACATTGTTCTGGGCACCACACATTGTAGCTCGTCTGTCTGCTTACATCTAATGTTCGACTTCCATTTCAAATCTTTGAATCAATTGTCATATGTCGGGCCCCGTTGTCAAAATTAAATATTTGACTCTACTTTGCTCAGCAGAGCACCGTCTGCCCTGTTGGAACTTAACTCTCGGACTCCCGTTCTCAAAACTTTGACTCAATGTCACATGAACTGCCCCTTTTCAAAATCTAAACTTGGACTCTACATGATCGCACGTTGCCCCTGTTGGAACTTAAAATCTCACTCCTAGTATCCGTCGTTAATTTTTCTGAAAATTTTAAGCAAAAATTTCCCTTCCGTCTTACGCTAGCCTGTGTCACAAATACTGAAAACAAACAATCTTTTCCCATGTTATTCTTTCTAACGATGAAAGACAATAAACCATTTTTTTTTATAGGGGGAATCATAAATTTACATAATACAAAATTAACAAAATTGCACGTATTTAAACCGGGGTCTACCTGATTTTTGTAACAATAGGTCTGATATAAGTTGAATCTAAACACAGACAAAAGAACATCTTCATTTACTTTTGGAATCGGTTAGCAAAAATATAGCCATTATTGATTTTTATAACCGGAAATATTAGGGAGACATTCTTTGTAACTTAAGCACCTCTGCTTGGCGATGGAAAAACTACTTTGTTTCGCCTTACGTTGCAACACAGAGATTAACAAACATAATTTACAGCGTTAATACGCATTTTTTAAATCTCGTCTAAAAAACTCAAACAGAAATCTTTTATATACACATTAAATAAAACAAACGCTACCAACATGAATAAATTATGGTTGTTACTCCTAGTGCTGACATTGAATAGGAAAGTTTTGTTAAATAGAACTGGAATGGATCATAAATTCTATTTTTTCGATTTTACGATTTGTTTGGCCTATATAAGATCGGGTGCAGTCTGCACAATCAATTTCGTAAACTCGGTGTTGTTTGTTTGAAATGTATTCTTTGAGTGATCGGACAAAAGATGAAAGTTTTTGTTGAGGGGTAAATATTGTCATTATTTTCTCTTGATTTAAGAACTTTACATACTCAGGTGACTGACTCCCAAGTTTTAAAGTAGGTATTTTTATAATTTGTATTTTTCTCTTTGAGAATATGATGCAGCGACTTGTAGATTAAGCAAATTGAAAATTACTCCTTTTATACCATGCTTTAAATTTATCAAGTTGATTTTGAAGTATTCATAACATTTAATTATAAAGAACACTTATGTTTAAAACGTAGATGCGTATTCTTTTATTATTGTTTAAAAGACTAACATACACGTTTGGTAGATACACTAAACTAATATTGTGCCACAGCTGATGGTTTTTTACCTTACGATGTAGTTTTCATAATATTTGATTAGTTGTACTGTAAACTTTACACAAATTAGTTTAGTATTAATTTCATTCTCTTATCTAAATATTTGCTAGATTATTTTAACTAATCATTTTCCACAAGCGTATAATAATCGAACACCATTTTGGCCGTCCACAAACAGTTAATCCTTATAATCGCTAGAGCTTTAGTAATTCACATGCTAATTAGTTTATTGATGAATATAACTAAATTGTGTTAAATTATCTTTTTTATTTATTTATTTACGCCGTAACTAAAGGGTTTATTAGCAGCCTATTTTTTACCTTTATAATATAGGTAAAGTTAGAAAAAATTACAATAATTAATACAGTCCTGAGTCTTTAAGATAACTTATTGTGTTTTTAATTTACATGTTTTTTCCTAATGCTTCGTTTATATTATTTGGGATAGTGTGTTTTTTTTTCTTGCTACTTCATAGGTTTTGCACTCAATTAGTATATGTTTCGCGGAGAGTGTTACTAAGCAATATTTACACATTGACAGCACAGTTCGCGTAAAGAAGTGTTTATTTGTTAATTACTGTGTGCTAGTCGTAAACTTGTTATTCTTACTTGGTCGTGTCTATTCGCTATGGGTTGGAGCCACAGTTTCACAAATTGTTTAATTTCTTAGAGTTTATTTTGTGATGTACTCTACTTATTTTGCCACGCACTTTATGTTTTATTTCTGACTTAAAGTCATCAGAAGAAACCTCATTAATAAGAATGGAGTCCTGGCTAAAAGATCGTTAGTGGACTAGTTTATCAGCTTTCTTCATTTCCTTGTATACCTGAATGTGATGCAACAAACATTGATTTTATTGTCAACAGTGATTTTATTATTACTTAGAGAAATTATTTACCGATGAGTTGGAATCTTCTTCCAACAATGAAGTGTTTCACTGCAGAGAGTAAACCCATGTGTTTGCCAAGTTTTTGTATGAATTTGGTGCTTTTGGTGTTCATTCTTTTGTCAATGTAGTATGGATGTAATTCCATTAGAAACTTTATAATTGCATGAGAGTCTTTTGAGTACAATTTTGTTACGCTCATTATGCTTTTTGATCCTTGTATATTTTCGAATAGATCCACTACTTGATCGAAGTTTAACAATGGCTTTTCCCTTTCTACAGATTCTCTAACTGGCTCTAGTAATATTTGGAGATATGGTATCTCATCTCTTAAGTTTTTGTCATCAGTTTTGTTTTTTTTTTTGACTGAAGCTTAAGGATTTTAAAGTTTTATTCGGCGGGTGGCGTGATTGCATTTTCTAGGGTTTTTTTTTCGGTTGCTTTGTTTGAAAATATCTGGGGATTGTAAGAATTCATATAAGTATTTTTATGGGTAAGGCTTTGATTTATATTTTTGTGTATTAAAGGAAGACTTAGACGATGTAAGTGTTGCGATTGTAGTGTTAACTGAAGAAGTAGTCAAATAAATGGTACATCCAGCTTGTACACATTTTGTAGTGACGATTGTTGAAATTGATAAATTTGAGATTGCTACTGTTTAGAATATGGTTTGCGAAGACGTAGTAAGTGTGGAGGGAGTGGTATTTGAGATTGTGGGAGTATTTTGTAGTCCTGGTGTTCAGTTAATTTGCATTTGTTGATAAAAGAATCAGGTAGTACCAAGTTGTCTGAAAAAGGTGAAACGAAAATTTGTCTTTGGAAACTCAGAATATGACTGAAGGCAGGATTGGTTGCTCCTATCCGTAGGTGTGATATGTCTGAGAGAGGATTTAAACCTATTTTAATTCATTCTTTCTTTATTAAGTTAGAAGGTATGCTTGGCTATGCATTAGACAGAATTAAGCGGACTAATGTAGTTATTAATCTTCTCGCTTCTGGTATATTTCCATTTACTATTATCTTCTTTGTTTCTGTTTGTAAATGTCTTAATCCAAAATGATGAAAAAAGTATATTTATTTTTAAATACTCAAAATTTCAATATTCAGTATACATATCACTTTCAATTAGTTTTATACTTATTTACTTTTAAATTTACTTCAACTAA